AACGCAGCTCGGCGCATCGCCATGTGTGCCATGTCTTGATCCTGTCTCGTCATGATCGTTGCATCACTCGTCATGGTCGTAGCATCACTCGTTCTGTCAACTCCCGCCTGTGTCGATGGCCGTCCTCGGTTTCAATCGTCGTCTCTCGTTGCATCCAACTCGTCTGCAGCGCCACTAACTCGCTTGCCCATGATCACACCGATGCCAGATAGATCCCTCTGGATTGGACATGCACCTCAGTGGCAGGACGCTGACGAAAGATCCCTGTGGTCCGGGCACTTCCATGCAAGATTAGGGGCGGTGATCGCTCTGCCACCGCATCGCCTGTCTGATATAAACCTGGCATCAATTCCTCACCACCACACCTCACAGCCAAACCCGCTCAAACACCGCTCCAGCCTCCATTTGGCCGCCCACATACCACTTTCTGATTCCCTCGTTTTGCGCACATCTCCATCGTCACCATGAAGTCCATCATGCTCATCTGCGTCTCGGCCGCTGCCTTCCTCGCTGTTGCTCGCGCTGCCCCCTTCTTTGATCTTTCCCAGCTTGATTCGCACGGCTCCAGCTGTGCCTGGCCTGGCCACTGCGAGGTGCCTCGTGCAACAACTACAACGACTGCTCTGGTGAGCTGATCTGTTCCAAGGGCAAGTGTGCCAAGAAGGACGACTACTGCTCCTGGAAGGGCCACTGCGAGGGTGCTTCTTGCAGCAGCGAGCACGACTGCTCCGACGATCTCGTCTGCACCAAGGACAAGTGCGCCAAGCCTTCCTGGAAGTCCTCTGCTGCCGTCGAGGGCTCGACCTCTGACGATAGCTGCGAGAGCGGCTTCTGTAAGTATCACCGAAGGTTGGCCGAGCCACATCCCTTTCTGGCTTGCATATTCGGCTGCTTCTCTGACCCAGCTTGCTCACCGATATCTTCATCCGACCTGTCTCAGCCGTCTCCACCTATACCGAGTGTACCTACCTCCGTGCTGAGCTCAAGAAGCTGTTCTGCCAGGATGGTGGCTCCGATCATGCCGTCGCCTGCATGAACGCCGTCGACCACTCCGTCGACCAGTGTGTCAAGGCCGTCGACGACCACAAGACCTTCTGCTTTCCCCGGCACTATTAGGCACTCCGGCACGAGACTGGGCTGAGCTTTCCCGACTCTGTTTGGTTGCGGCCGGCTTCTTCGCCCTCCCCCATTTTTGTACATTAGTCTCGTTGCACTCAGCCGCAGCGGCCTGTCCACAGCAAGTGGCAAGTTGCTGCTGGCGGCGTCCCTGGCTCGTTGGACTAGTCCACCATCAGCCAAGAGCCATGAGGGTTCTGAAACGCATGGCACTCCATGCGCTTGAAGACTTTGGGGAGGGTGGTAGGACATGGCGCGGACAGGCATCGCCCTTGGAGGAGACTCTGTTGTTATATCTACACTTTGAATGACTCAGTCAGCAGGGAGTGAGTCGCTGGTAGGTGTGTGGTTAACTGTCGATTTCTGGCTCTCGAGATTCTCGAAAATCCAGATTGTTAATGCGATTATACACTCAAACTCCGAAAAACCTCACCATCTGTGATCAGAACTGGATATCTCCTTTCATATCGAGAAACTTCATGGCGCTTACATCAACGCTGGTTACATTGGCCGAGGACCAGGGCGATCGTTCTTGGTGATAGACTATGTATGAGCTGAAAGTCCCGGTCAGGAATGTCCTTTTTTTTGTTTACGATAGCTGTATATTCAAGATTATTCAACCGGCCATGAGCACCATGCGGTACCTAGCAGTGGGCGTTCAAGCAAGCTCACACCCCTGTTGCGGCTCTTACCGACTCTCCAGCCCACACGGCGGACCATGCGGGTACACACTTCCTCCAAGAGGTCCCACAGGGACTCGCATGTCTCCAGGTCCCGCTCGGGGATCCTTTCTCTCTGGCCATGGGAGATCCTCTCAGGGATCTCCTCAAAGCCAATTGTTCGTTGGGCTCGCTGTCGTGGCCTAGTGCCTCTCAGCGTCCCAGTCACTCCATCTGCCTGGCATTCTGCTTGGTGCGAAGAGAGGGTTGTCTCTCCTGCTGGTCGTGGGAAGTTGTGTGTCCACCGCTCTGTGTAGGTAATCCGCAGTTGAGGTGCAGTGCTCCGTGTGATGTTGTGAGGGCTGTGCGGAACAGCAAGTTCAGGCAGAAGGTTTGTGTCCGGTGGTGCCGCTTCTGTTCGTTCTTTGGGATGGCGTCGAGGGCGAGGCCGTATTCCATCATCGGCCGCAGGAACGTGCGGTAGGCAATCGTCAGTGTCTTGGCGTGAGGTTCCCAAGAGTCAGGCCCATCTTGGCCATGTTGGATGCTGCTTCTCTTGTCCTGGTCACCATTCGGTCCTGGTAGATCGTCGATGAAGGCGCTGAACATGAGTGGGCTCAGCACCGATCCCTGGATCAGTCCTTTCCGGAGCCATGCTGGCTTGGATTTTCGGCCCTTGCTGACCATTTGGATGGATACCCGGTCAAACATGGCTTTGAGGAAGCCGAGGGCGATGCCGTTCATTCTTCGCTGCTTGAGCTTGGTCCAAAGTCGCTCGCGCCATACTGTGTCATAGGCGGCTTTGATGTCGAGGAAGATCAGAGAGTACTCCTCACCGTTCATCTTGTGGTGCTTGATCAGGGTGTCCAGGGCGACGATCTGGTCAAGGGTTCCTCGTCTGGCTCGAAATCCGCCTTGGGCGACGTCCATGTCTCCTGCCTGTTCTGCCAGGAAGGGGAGCATGATCCTTTCCACGATCTTCCTGCAAGTCTGAGTGAGACCGATCGGGCGATACATGGTCGGGTCCAGGGTCGATCCCTTCTGCTTGTACACTGGGTGGATCAGCACGCTGTTCCATTCGCTTGGCACCACACTGGCCTTGAGCGCCGCCATGATGATCAGGCGGAGCCACTCGGCTATCACTGGTGCGACTGGTATGAGCATTTCGCTCTTGATCTTGTCGGACCCCGTTGCCTTGCGGCGTGGTGCCTTCTCGATGGTCTCTTGGATGTGCTCCATCGATACTTCTGGGAGCCGCTTGTCGGGCGGCAGGAGGGTCGCCTCCGTGCTCAGGGGTGGGGTCATACTTCTGTTGTACTCTGTCCCGCTGTCCTGCGAGGCAGAGGATACCTTGCCAAAGTGCACCACGAGTTTCTCGAGAGTCGGATCCGAGTTGTCAAAGAGATGGGATCCTTCCCTCTCCTTCCTCGTGCGCATCGCTCCGATGGTCTTGGTCATCTCGGAGCACTTCTAGGTGTCCATGGTGGCCATGGATTCCTTCCATGACCGTATGCCGTTCTTGCGCTTGAGCTGGGTGATGGCCTTTCTCGTGGACCGAAGCTGACGACGCAGGTCGTCCAACTCTTCCGTGTCGTACTCGGGGGTTTGGGCGAGCATTCTGCTCAGGCATCGCCGCTCTCGTTCCAAGCGTCGGATTTGGAGTCACAGTGTGCCCTCGATCCGACCAGGGCTGATGCTGGATGGCCCCTTGGTAGGTTTCTGTTGTTCTGCGCTTTGGCGACCATCGCTGGCAGTGGGATAGTCGGCAGGGTGCGGTTCATTCTCCGGTGTGCTCTCTCACCCTGATGATCCCGCGGATATCGAGATCAAGTAAGGACATGCCACTTTTCATATCGCGGAGCTTGTCGCCATCGAACGACAAACAAACCCCTAAGCACGGCCTCGATGATATTGAGCAGCATTGACTTGCCGTTCTGGGTGTCAACCACAAGGAACGTGATCATTTCCCCGTTGCGTTCGGCAGTCAGTGCCGCATGGTTGTATCGGACCTCGAGCGTCGTCATGAAATGTCCTCTGCCGTGGCCATGCGCCGTGTGCCATCCAGGAGATTGATGAGAGTGCCATCACTGAACACAACGCTGCCCGCCGATGTGTCCAGGGTGCCCACAAAGGCCTTGTATCCTTGGCGACGACGGTCTTGAACGACGAGTGGTGGTTGGCGAGTCCGCTACCGTCCTTGGTGATCACGTCACAGTGGATCTTGTCGATCTGGGCAGCTCCGATTGCTGTGTGGGATCGTATTGATATGGGGTCTGGTACTAGTGCTTGGCGGTATTGAGTGCCTTGGTGAATACCAGGTTTTCGTCCCGAAGGAGACGGTCAAGGATGTTTGAGAGTCGTAGCTCTTTCCACACCGGAAACTCGAATAGATAGCCCATGGTGATATCAGCCTTGTGGTAAACTGGGCAAGGTCGTGGGCACCGGTATTGAGGTGGGCATAGATACGGAGGACATCATTCTTGATGGCACTTGTATCCTGGCAGCTGTGGATCGAGAGGAGTGGTTCTTGTCATTCGTGGTCCAAAGAGTCCCCTCTCAGTCGCCAGGCTGCACTGCAGTGGACTGGTTTCATCCTCGCATGGTCTTACCACATACGCTGGCGTGCCCTAGCGTCCCTGGGTCGGATCGAGGGTGGACCAGAAAGCTGCAGTGTGGTCATTTTCTTTCCTTTGGCGGCTGTAGAGGCGAACCTATGCTCGTTTGGATCCAGGCCATTCGTCGCCTTTGCCATCCTTTTGTCGGTCCATCGATGCTGATCAGGGCACGCTGCCGGGTGTCGGATCGAGGGAGGATGGTCTTGGTGCCGGGGAAGGCTGGTGGCTTGCTGCCTGCTTTCTCCGGTACCATGTGGCGAGGGATGTCTGGGTCGTGCTAACTCTTTCCACTATCTTTGGTTATAGAATGAGTATCGATTGTGAATGTCGAGTTGTCGTTGTCGAGTCATCGGATGTTTTCTCCTCGGTCGATCAACATCAGCGATTGTTATGGGACGGCACTATTGTATATTGGATGTATTGGATGTATTGAGTATCAAATACAACATCACTCGGCCATTGCCGATTTATCGGAATCACTTTACAAGTCCACTGTTTGGTATCACGGTGTCTGGGATGGGTGTGGGAGGCGAGGCTTGCTTGACTGCTTGCATATTCAGTGTTGCGACTTGGTTTATTGGGCGGGGAAAGTGGTGCTCGACGATCAGGTTCATTTGCCGAGTTCTTTGAGTTTGTCGATGGCATCTTGGAAACCCTGGTCGACGGACTTGCTATACCAGAAAACGGCGGTTTCGATGTTCTTGTGGACACCATACCCACTCCTATAGCAGTAACCGAGCCAAAACTGTCCGTATCGATTGTCCTGGTCGGCCGACTTACGGAACCACTCGGCTGCCTTGGTGCGGTCCTGGGTAACTCCGTATCCAAGGCGGTAGCAAAAACCAACCCAGCACTGCCCATACGAATTGCCTTGGTCAGCCGACTTGCGAAACCACTCGAATGCCTTCTTGCGGCCCTCAGATACTCCCCCGCCATGGAGGTAGCACATTCCGATCCAAAACTGGCTGTCGCTGTGGCCTTCGTTGGCGAGCTGCTCGAATATGCCGATTGCCTTCTTCTGGTCCTGTGTGGTTCCAAATCCTTGAAACAAGCACACGGCCATGAGATGCCTGCACAGCCAGTCATGTTCCGATCCCAATTGGCACAACTTGAAGAACCTCCGGGATGCGGGTGAGTCGGAGTCGGCCGAGTTCCAATTGGCCAGACATTCGTTTTCCCCAAGTGTGAACTCATACGATTTGTTGTCTCGGATGATCTTGATACCCTTCTGTTTATCCTGCTGGGTACCCCTGCCGAGGTAGTGCATCCATCCGACCATATGCGTGGCTATGGGCTTGAGGACCTTGTCATCTGACTTGGTGCTCACTTCCTGCCAGAGCCAGAAGGCGCTGCGGTCGTTCTTGGCCACTCCCTCACCCAGGAACGCGAGCCAGGCCATCTGGAAGGATGCTTCGAGTTTGCCGCGGTCGGCAGCGGTCTTGTAGAGCTGGCCGACGAGCTTCCAATCTTGGTGGCGGGCAGGGAGACCCTCCGAGATCAACTTGGCGGCTTCGAGACAGGCATCGGGATCACCTTGCTTGGCGTCGGAGACGATGGTGCCAGGGATATGGACGGCATCGTCGATGCCATCAAACTTGAGCTCGTCGGGTCGACTGGACTGGGACGTGGGTTGGTTGTTCACACTGAGAGTGGTGAAATGACCAACAACCTGACTGACGGAAGGGGACTTGGCGGCGGCGGGAACGGCGAGAGCAGGGACGGCGGCACGGTTGTATGGCTGGAGGACGGCAAGGATGTCGGTGAAGGCAGGGCGGGCGGCGGGATCTTGGGACCAGCAGCGCTCGATGAGAGCCCAGATATCGTCGGGGATGCCATCGAGACGCTTGGGGCGCTTGCCGTTGCATGAAATGCGTTCAATAACTCGGCCGAGCATGGCTTGTCCGTTGCTGGTGACCCATACGGGTTTGGCATCGTTGAGGACTTCATACATTGTGATGGCGAAGGCGTAGACATCGGTCTTCATGGTGGTGCCACTGGGATCATCGTCGTCCAGCATCTCGGGGGCAATGTAACCATCGGTACCGCCGGTCGGGCCCATGGATCGGTTGCGGTCCAGCGAGGCAGAGGTGTGTTTGGTGCGGGACATGCCAAAGTCGGTGACGACGGCGTTGAATGAGGCATCCAGGAGGATGTTCAGGGCCTTGAGATCGCCGTGGATGATGCGGCGGGAATGGAGGTATGCCAGAGCCGAGGCAGCTTGGAAGAGGAGACGGAGCTTCTCCTTGAGTGGGACGTTGTTATTGGCAACATGGTTGCGAAGGGTGCCGTTGGGCATGAAGGGCGAGACCATGAAGGGAGGAACAGGACTCCCGTCTTCGTCTTGGTCGCAGGCGCCGATGAGCTGGAGGACATGCGGGTAGCTGAGTTGCTTCCAGATGCTAATTTCATGGTTGTACTCAGCGAGCTGGCGTTTATTGCAGAAGCCGAGGAGCTGCTTGATGGCAACTTTGGTACCAAAGTAGGAGCCAGTATAGACCTCACCAAAGCCACCACGGCCGATGGGTTTGGCCGAGCGGTCGGTGATGTCGCTGGGCGCGATGTACCAGGACGGGCGCTCAGGAGCGGGACGGATGATGGGTTTGCTGGCCATGTTGTACGGGGGAGGCAGCTGGATAGGAGAGTACCGATGTGGATGATGGCGAAAGGTGGGAGCCGGCGAGGGAAGAGGGGGAAAACGGGCGATGAGCGAAGAAAAAGCAGGCGGGGATCCTCGCCACACCATCATGAATCATTGCCGGTGACACAGTTTCAGATGCGCGACACACGAGCGCAGCAGCAGCTCAATCGGGCTGGGCGTGCCCGGCGGATCAACTGGTTAACACCCTATGGTAGTACGGGGGGTTTTTCTGTTAACGATAGTTGTATATTCGAGACATTCAACCGGCCATCAGCACCTTGCGGTACTGGGCAGTGGATGTATGGTGCGTGCCAGCGAATCTTTGACGAGGCTGAACAGCGGCCAAATTCGAGAGTTCGACCTCGTGAAACACAATGAGTCATATATTCGAACCGGCTCGAGCCATAGGTGTCAATAGCAGTTCTGTGCTCCCCACCCCCGTGCTTCTGTCAGTATCCCGGTCACTTTCTGCATCACAATTCGGTTCGCATTCAGAGTCTGTGTCATCTGCACCGTCCCTGCTCAGTGCGGCATCGACAGTATGATAGGTTTTCCGGTGGGAGGTGTACCTTTTCCTTACATATGCCTGGATCTCAGTCAATGCAATGCCTCGTCTGTAAGCACGCATGTACCTCCATGTTGTCCTTGCATGCCTTCGGACTCGTTTGATATCTCCTGCTCTCCGCAGGGCTATTGGAAGTAACCTCACGAGATTTTGGAAACTGTTGAAGCACATATCTTTGGTGTATCGCTTGGCGTCGCACCAAAATCGTTCGATGAAGTTCAGCTCGCAGTGGAACTTGGGGAGAAAGATAACCTTGTGGCCTCGACTGTGAATGGTCTCGTCAATCCATGGCTCTTGTTTCTGGAAGTCTGGCTGGACCTTCATCAGGTGCCTGGCACAACAAGGGGTGCGTGTTGGGCCATCAGAGTTCTCGGTTTCTTCGGAGGTTCTCTTGCACTTCACCCCCAGCCCATCTACCCAGAGCCCTCGTTCCTCTAGCACGATGTAAGGTCCTTTGGGCTGCCCTGCCCATTGTTGCTCGAGGGAGTCGTGAAGAGGATCGTTGGTTAGATCATATTGGCTCCATTGATGTCAATTCACTCATCGAATCAATCATATTACCTCGTGCATTTCACCGTCCATCTCTTCCGGAAAGCACATCGCCTGAGGAACGTTATCTGGCCCGAAGGATGTAGGCCGAAACTTCTTTCCTGTTCCTGGCCAGAGTGACATGTTCTCCGCTCTGAGAGCGTCGTCAGCGAAGGCCCGGTGGTTGGATGAGTTGTCGAACTGAAACAGTGCAACACAATTGGGATGCATCCGTTCAAATATAGGGATGGCTTCCTCGAGTTGTTCAGTTAAATTTCGGCATGTCCACCAGTTTTGACGCCCAGGCTTGATGATCTTGGTCGAGCCATTCGTGTCGTCGACCTTCAATAGACCATGACATTCACATAGAAATGCACTGACCATGAGGCTTGATCCCAGGCCTTTTGGTTTCAGTCTGCATTCGCCCTTCCGTTGCCATGAGTAGTTGGTTGATTCATTGGTGTAAAAAGTGCTCTCGTCATATGTGACGAGGACGATGCGAGGCAGGGATTTACATTTCGGGGGAAGTTCCTCTTGAAGATCCGTCCCAACGTATCGAGTCATACGTCGTCTATAAATTTTCATCTTCTGGAGGTATGCACGGCGATAATCGACAACATCGCTACGCTCGTGGCCATCGACATATACCCCTTTCTTGTCCCTGGTCTTATTGTAGTCAAGGTGCTTCATCCAACGCAAGGCAGTGCGGTATGATATTTTGCCGTGTTTGAGCCGATATCTTCGAAGGTTCCTCTCGGTTTTGAGCTTTTCAATATTTTTCTATTGACAAACTTGGCGAACTTCACCGGGCTGCGCTGCTTGTTATCACTCAGATATTCCAAGCACATTTCCGCAACTGTTTTATCCGACAACAGGGATGTCTCTCTTGGGTGAAGCAACGTATATGTATCAGGAATATATCCTGTCTTCAAATACTCAGTTGCTGCTTTCCTTATGATCCGACTGAAATATGGCAACGACTTTCCCATAGCAAGTTGACGGGCGACTTCGACACCGATCTTAGCGACCGTGAGTTCCGTGTTTCTTCGTTTCTCTCGAAGGTAGAGGTATATAGCATGGTGCATAACCGTCTTTCTATAGTTGGGCTCCTTCCCAAGAGATGTGTTTGCACATCGTGCGCATGTCTCACTTCTGAGGTGCCCGATGGCCGAGTCGATTTCCATCGATATCTGTTGTTCAAAGTCGGTGGATTCCGTGTCGTCTGAGGACACCGACTCCTGATCACCATCAATTTCGAATATCACATTGGAAGGGGCCTCGTCGGACGGCTCGTTTCTTTCGTAATTTCTCATGCCAGTGGAGACTCCAGCCGCCTGATGACCGTCATCCAGGTCAACGACTTGAGCATCCCACATCCGGACTGGATAGCAGCCATCCAAGCCCACGATGTAATCGGAGGGGAATTTGGGTGGTGGATGGTCAGCGTCAATATCGAAGACTTGCAAATTGCTGTCCTCGATTGTTCTTTCAAAGGAAGTTTGGGCTGCCGCTTTACATTGGGAACCGAAGTATTCGGGAATCGTTTTGGAGGTGCCGTGCTGCAAAGCCCGGGAACGCGACTCGGCATTGGCTCGTCGCTGACTACTTTCTGAATTTCCAACATAAGGCCGTCGTCGATGTTTGACAGGAGGTTCGGGAAAGGAGGACGGGAAACGGATCGGCCACGCGAGCAACGGATGCTCTGACTGACGAGGAGCCGGGCGTGGCTGAGGTTCAGTGCCGTTGATGAGAACAGAACAATCATGATCGATATCGACTGCGGGAGCCCAGCTCGTAGCTGAAGTATCCATGGTTTCATCGGCATCCAGATCGTAAACTATGATTTTTCTGTCTGGTTGAGCATTCTCTGGTCTCGCCAAGGAGGCGCCAGATGCATTCTTGTCCTGGAGAGGCGGGAGTTCGCGAGCTGGTTGCGTGCTGACGTCGAGGAGAATTGTGTTAATGTGACTAGATCTCCTCAACTCGGCCCGAAAAGCTGCATTTCGGAGGGCAGTTTCTCTAGCCTTCTGAAATCGCTTTTTATTCCTGGATGTTCGTCCCATGATGAGGATGCGTTGGTGATGGGCGATCGACGAGAGACACCGGCTATATAGGAGGCGAGGAGGTCTGAGTTGGAGGGAGGTGAGCAAGGAGGGACGCGCGTTAACGCGCTTGGATTGTGTGACCGAAAGCGTGTATTGTGCGTGGCACCGGCCAGTTTTTGAGTCATCATTATTAAAATCACCTCATTTTGAACGCCAATATCTCACCAGGATGATGTGTTATGAGGGAATGCTTCGTGCCGAACGAGAGCATGATCGATTCTGAGTCGTTTAACAAGGTCATCGCCGTTCGAAAGAAAATGCGGCTGCGCATATTATTCCAGGACCAATAGGCGTCGGAAATACAAGATTCACCTGCACGCACCATACGAGCAGCTGATGGCCGATACCGCCGCGCAAATCGAGACCCTCCATGCAGAGCAGCAAACCCGCGACGAAGCCAGTGCCAACGAACTGCAAAAGTTGAATGAAGCGCACTCGGGCTGTGCGCTGACCCACAAGGCCATTCAGGACAAGCTGGACACCCTCACCCAAACGCACATTGCCACGCGGCAGCAGGCCGCAGAACTGCGCGACTCCCTCACTACGTGCCAAATGATGATCGGGACATTGGAGATTGAGAACGATTCCTTGGAAGCGCAGATCAAGAAAAATGCCCAGGCCATGGAAGAGTTGGCGGAGCAGCACAAAGCGAGTCAGTCGGAGACAGAAACCAAGCAGCAGGAGCTTGACGCAGAAAACACCAGGCTTGCACAAGAGCTATCGGAGCTGAACCAAAGGTTGGGTGATGCGCAGAGCGAGCTCTAGGACAGCCAAACCCGGGCGAAAGAGTACGAGGGCGAGATCGCACGATTCAAGGAGCAAATCGCGAGTCTCCAGGACAATGTGGAGAGTGCCGGCGCTGCGTCAGAGGAAGCCGCAGCTGCTACAGCTGAGAAGATGGCAGAGGTGGATGAACTGGTAGGAAAGCTCAACGAATGCACTCAGCAAGCAACGAGGTACACCACACAGATCGAGACACTCGAGGAGCAGTCAAAGGCGTGCCAAGAGCAACTCGACGGCAAAAGCCAGGAGAAGGAGAGACTCCAGAACGACATGGACACGGCGGTGCAAGAACATGAAGCGAAACATGCAGTTCTCTTGGATGAGCAGAGTGCACTGAAAGCAAGGGTGAAGGAGTTGGAGGAAGAGCTTCAGAACCAGCAAGCGACGTTGGAAGCGAAAGTGAGAGGGTTGGAGGCAGAGCTACTCGACCGCGACAACAAGATCAAGCAACTGGAGGAGGAACTGGGAGGTGTTGAGCAGCGGCAAAAGCCATCGACAACGGTCTCTGAAACAATGACAGATGAGCCGGTGGTCTTGGCAGATGCATCCACCGCCACCAGCATGGGGGCACCGGCCGGCAGCCCTATGGCAACGGCAGAACGGGTGGCGGAACTGGAGGGTCTCAACAGAGAACTCGCGGTGCTGAATGGCCAGTGGAAAGAGGCAGGTCGTGGGTTCATCGAGCGACTTGGTGTCATTCGCGACTGGATGGGTGGGGCTGAGAAGGGAAAGCAGCAAGCGCAGGAACCATTGGTGTGAAGCATCGCAGTGCCGCAGTGCGAAACGACGACGGTGCCATGTTTGGCCTTGATTGCAATGAGTGGGTGGGTGTGTGTATACAGGTCACAGAAAAAAACATAGTCATGACTCAAAACGAGGTGTCCCATTTCATTTTGGAAACGCTGTATGTCCATTCGAAGAGGTCGCCTCGACAACATTCCTGTCGCCCTGCACAGGATGATCGTGTTGCGCGCTGTCATGATGGAAGTTGGTGGCTGCTTCTTTGGGCTGTCCCAATCATTTGTGTGTGCCTTGTGTTTGAGTTGGACCGCCACCCACGTGGTGTGGCTTGGACCTGCTGCGCATTCTACCACGTGATCATGCGCAGCACAAACAACACGTTCCTGTGCGCGCATGTTTCAGAGTCGCGCTGCCAAATGGGGCAGAGCTTTCTGTCGTTGGCGCAGGAGTCACTCTGACAAAGGCTTCGCCTCCAGAACCAAAACGAAAATGCCCGCTTTCCGCCGCTCCTCCTTGCAGCTCTCGCTCCTCCATCTCCTTCAACATGAGCAGCAAACCCCTTATCCGCGAGCGCCAAGACAGACCGCCATGGTACATCTCTCCCAGCGACATCACCGACCGTTCAGCCAACCCCATCGGCCGTGGTGGGTTTGGTGAGGTGTTCACTGGCAACTACTTTGGCACCCAAGTCGCCATCAAGCAACTTCTCGGCGCTCCAAACGACCGCGAGCTCGCCAGCTACCACCATGAGATTGGGGTTTGGCAGAATCTCAGCCACCCCCATGTTCTCCCCCTCCTCGGAGCCTGCGACAGGGGCGACGCCGGCGAAAAGATCACTCCTTTCATGGTCTCTCCGTTCATGCCAAACGGCACGCTTCGTGACTATGTGGCCAATAGCAACATTTCCCTCGAGGAGAAACTCAGTCTTCTGTACCAGGTTGCGTCGGCCCTGGCCTATCTGCACGCCAGAAGAATCATCCACGGCGACCTCAAGGCAGCGAACGTCCTCTTGGACAGATCCTTCCAGGCTGTCGTCACCGACTTTGGCTTATCCAGAACCAAGCACACCTCAGCCTCGATGAACCCCAATCGAACCAACGGTCCCTCTGGAGGTACCGAGGGGTATATGGCTCCCGAGATGCTCGACGACGAAAATCCATCTGGCACCACGATGAAGACTGATGTCTATGCTTTCGCCATCACCATGTACGAGGTCCTGAATAACGCCGATCCGGTTTGGGTTTCCGCCGATGGTCAAGCATTGAGAAGCCGAGTGATCGAGCGGATGGTTTGCAATGGCCGTCGACCTGCCCGATTCGACGGCATCCCCGATCAGATCTGGTCGCTCATCGAAGCTTGCTGGCATCAAGATCCCGCCATGCGTCCCACCTTCAGCAGTATCATCGTCTCTCTTGATGCATACAAGAACGCCCCTCTTGCTTCTCCGCTTCGCGATAATTCTCAACCCAGTTTTTTTTTTTTTGTTACTATAGTCAACTTTATTCAAGAAGACAAGCCATCAGGTCCAACAGGTTGGTACCCCGGCACGTTGAGTACACAGGCAAGCCTATTTACTCCTGTTGCAGCCTAGTGCTGCCTCAGCTGCCCACAAGGTCTGAGACCAAGCGGGTGAACACATTTTCGAGCAGTTCCCACAAGGGAACAGCAGGATCGAGGGGGGGTCGGGGTGGAGGAATGACAAGTGCTGACACTATACTACGCTGTGATGAGGGTGCAGGGAGAGACTGCAAGGGTGGGACTACACTGGGTGTGGGAGTGGGTGGTGGTGCTGGGTGTGCACCAAGTGCGAATGCTCGGAAGGCAGTGCGGGGAGCGGGTACATGAGCAGCAAGTGATCCAAGTGCGGGAGGGGTGCGACTGCGAGGGGGAGTGCGATCGAAACTGAGCAGGTCCAGCAGCTTGTCCACTGGTCCCACTCCGGCTATACCACTTTCCACCCAAGTCGGGTGGGCCGTCTTGAGGGCTGCGACCTTGCGGACCAGGACTTGATGCGGATCCACACACTGCTGTGCGTGGGTCCTGGTCAAGTCGATCCCGGATCCGTGTCGAGCCAGGTTCTTGCACTTGCGGTAGCCAAATCTGAAGTGGCCTGGGAGAGCACCGAGTCGCCATCGGACCATGAACATGAGCATGATCATGGATCCTTGGTACCCGCGAGCCTCCCAGAGTCCCGACATCTTGGTCGACGGGGTGCAGGCGGCGGTGAGCTGCTTGGAGCGGTCGAAGCCGTTCTTCATGTGGTCCTCGAAGATGAGGGTCTTGATCGGGACGGGCTGGGGTCGGGGCGGTCCGGGCGGCGGCGGCTGGTGTCGGGTCTTGCCTCGGTAGATCTCCGTGGCCGTGAGGGAGTGGTCGGCCTCTTGTCGGCGGACCACCATGGCCCAGTGCGGATCGGCTCGGACTCCTTGGCCGAGGAACTGGTCGGGGTGGTAGGGCGCAATGATCTTGTTGCGCAGGATCATCGACAGCATCTTGTCGCCGTCAGAGACTTGGTCGTCCCAGCGGGCCCAGTTCTGCAGGGCCAGCATCTTGACACGGACCGACATCTTGGGAAGGCCGCAGTTGAGGTGCATGGCACCGACGGGAGTGCCGGGGCCGACGCGGAACATGGTGCGGAGGGCCGTCATCTGGGCGTCGTCGAGGCGGTCGCGCAGAGCTGGGTCGGGGATGTCCATGGCCATCCCGTATTCGAGGGTCGGCCGCACAAAGGTCTTGTAGACCTGGGTGATGGTCTTGGCCGAGACCTTGCCGAGGGTGATGCCGAGTCCAACCACGGTGTCGGTGACCATGTGGACCTTGCGGAGGAGCTTGTCGAACTGGAGGTCCGGGCGGAATCCGTCAATGTCGACCATGACACCGAGGTAGCGGAACTGGAGGACCTTGGGCAGCTCGGTGCCGTACAGCTTGGCGGGATGGAGCTGGTCGACGTTGCAGGCCGAGTACAGCACCTCGCACTTGGGAGGCGAGAAGCGGTACCGGTTGTCGATGCTGTGGCGTTCGCAGATATCCAGCATGGCCTGGGTGCGGCCAGCCGGACAGATGAGGACACCGTCATCGGCAAACCAGAGCGAGTTGACCCGGAGACGGTGGTGGCGACTCGAGGCAAGCACAAGTCCGTCCTCGGCTCGGAGCAGTCCAGGCAGGTCGTCAATGTGGGCACTGAACAGAAGGGGACTCAGGACCGAGCCTTGGATGAGACCCTTCTGCAGCCACACAGGCTGCGACGTGCGGCCCTTGCTGGCGACGCGGACAAGAGTGCGGTCGAACATGGCCCTGAGGACCCCGACGGCGACCGGACCAGCACCTCGGGTGGCGATCTTGTCCCAGAGGCGCTCCCGCCAGACAGTGTCGTAGGCGGCCTTGATGTCGAGGAAGACCAGGCTGTACTCGTCGTCGCGGATCTTGTTCATGCGGACAAGAGCGTCGAGCGAGTACACCTGGTCGAGGGTGCCTCGGTCCGGGCGGAAGCCTCCCTGGGCAATGTCCATGATGCCGATCTCGCGGGTGAGGAACGGCAGCAGGACTCGCTCGGCGATCTTGCGGAGGACCTGGGTCAACCCGATGGGCCGGTACATGGCCGGATCGAGGATCGAACCCTTGTTCTTGTAGACCGGGTGGATCAGGACAGTGTTCCACTCGGTCGGGACGACGGAGGCCTTGAGGGCGGCCAGCAGGATGGCCCGGAGCCAGGGAGCGACCACGGGAGCGACAGGGTGCAGCATCTCGGCCTTGATCTTGTCCGGGCCGGAAGACTTGCGCTTGGGGGACTTGACGATGGCATCGGCCACCTCGTCCGACGACAATCGGGGAATGGAGCGGTCCTCGGGGAGCAGGCGCGGAACAGTGTCCAGGGGTCTTGGGCCGACGGTCCGGTCAAAGGCGGCACCGGGGGTGTCCTGGGAGTGCGAGGAGACCTTGCCGTAGTGGACCACAAGTCGCTCGAGGGCCTCGTCCGAGTTGTCAAAGTGGAAGGCGTCGTCGAGCTCCTTGCGCTTCTTCATGGCGGCCAGGGACTTGGCGACCTCGGAAGCGTTGAGGGAGTGCAGCTTGTTCATGGCCAGGGTCTCGGCTGCTCGGCGGGACTGGACGATGAGGTTCTTTTCTTGTTTGCGGACAGCGCGGAGTTCGGCGCGCTTGTCCTCGGCGACGCGGAGGGAGAGCCCGGGCAACTTGAGCTGGTAGATGAGATCGCGGCGCCTCTCGCGAAGCTGCCGCATCTCGGGGATCAGGGCCGGGTCCTTCCAGACGGTCTTGATGGAAGCCTTGCCGATGGTGGAGTCGGCAGCGGTGGTGATCAGGGCGATCATGATGGACCAGGCGCGGTCGATGCAGTCCTGGGCCGCACTCTCCGAGATCGGAATGACCGATCCCCTTGAGATTGGCCGGAGTGCAGCCTGGATGCGCTGCAGACCGCGTTCGCGCTCGTCCAGCAGCGCCAAGAGGTACTGGGCGCGGACGGCAGGATCCTCGAGCTGGGCGATCTTCCACTGCCATTGGTCGACCTTTGGGTAGTACTTTGGCTGTACCCGCAGAGTCGCCCAGATGGGGAAGTGGTCGGACTGGCCACGGAAGGCACCGGCAGTGTCGACCTGCAGCAGCGGGTCGTTGTTGGCCTGGCGATGCGACACAAAGATGTAGTCGATCGTTGTCCAGCTGGGACCCCGCTGCCGGGTGTGGGTCGGGATCACAGCTGGAGGCACAACGCGGAGACCGGCGCGGGAGACAGTGTCCTCGAGGATCTTCTCCCTGCCACGGAGCGGCGTGGGCAGTCCGCTCAGGGCACTGAGGTGGGCATTGAAGTCACCCACCACAATGACCTGGGCGTCGGGGAGGGCGGCCTTGGTGTGGATCGACTGGAGGGCCTCGCGGTAGTCGTCCAGCTTGAGGCTCGGGGACAGGTAGAAGTTGCCGATGTGGATGACGTGTTTGTATGTCACCCACATGGCGTCGCCCTTGTCGCTGACTTCAATGTTGGTGAAGTCGTGCGGGTCGATCCT